GCTGTGTTGCTGTTACACCATGACTATTGATGCAGTACACTCTCTTAACCAGTCCTAATTCCTCGCAGGCTTTGTCACCAAGGAGAGACTGAAGATTATCTGGAACTACCACAAAGAGCAGGTGATGAGTTTTGTTTTTCACACATACTCTGAGTCTGCACACACCTTGAGTCTTTATGTCCTGTCCATTGTAGGTTTTGAGCGACACAGTGTTTCTTTTTTATCTGGGGCTTGATTTTCATTTCCTTTATGTCACTTATGCTTATGAGATTGGCCTTCGCTCCTGTATCAAGTTTAAGCGGCACAATGGTTCCATTGACTTGTAGTGACACGATCCATTTGTCTTCAGATACACAGTTCACATCAGAGTCATTTTTTTCATTTTCTTTGTGTTTTTCCTGAATACTTTCAGTGTCACCATTGACCATGCCCACAAAGAAAGTGTCTGACAATTCGGTGTCATCCACAACATGCACAAATGTTGATTGCTTTGTTTTATTCTTTGAAAAGCACTGCTTAGCGAAGTGGTTCATGCCTTTGCATTTTGCACATTGCTTTCCATATGCTGGGCATTGTTTAGGCTGATGCTTTGAGCCACATCTTTTACAGCTGAATGAATCTGTGCATGTCTTAGGTACAACTTTTTGACTCTGCCTTTTCATTTTATGAGTAACAGCGCCAACTACTGGACAGTCAGCACCTGTGGTGCCTTTATCGGTGAAAGTTCTAGAATGCAACAGAGCAAGCTCACTCGCATGACAAATCTTGACAGCACCTTCTAAAGTCAGCTCCGTTTCTCTGAGTAGTCTTTCTCTTATTTTCTTGTCATCAATGCCAAAAACAATTTGATCTCTGATCATTGATTCAGCCAAGACTCCGAAGTTGCATGTTTTTGCCTTTAGCTTCAAATCAGTCAAGAATGTGTAAACTTTCTCCCTGAGATTGAATGCGTGAGCGAAACACATACCTTTCATAGGTTTCATTTTTTTGGGGTGAGCAGTGCTCGTCAAATTTCTTTATGACCTCATCATATTTTTCTCTGTCCGCAGCGACCGCGAACGTAAAAGTATTGTATACTTCAATCGCCTGAGGTCCAGCAACTGTCAAGAGCAACGCTATTTTCCGTGAATCCGACTCACCATCCAGACCAACAGCTTGCATGTATAGCGCGAATTGCTGCTTGAATGTCTGCCAGCTGCTATCAACACTCCCGGTGAGTTTCAGAGATTCCGGTGGTTTAACAGAATCCATCTCAGTTGTATCACAGGACAGTTCACTCCTGGTACCATGTAGTGTTTATTGATTAAACACTCTGAACAAATAAATGTTTGAACTGGCGTGTAGCCTCTTTATTCTCCGAACATTCCACTTCAACACGAGCTTAGCTCCCCGTATCACTTCCTTGTGCTTCTTTTACATTCTTGGGTATCTGTTAACTGTTTGTTTGGTTCTACTGCCATCTAGAGGACAATCATAGGAAACACCTAATCACCACAATTCAATATATTGGAAGAAATTTCATCAACGATATATCACGATATATGTGACTGAAAAGAAAAAGAAGGAATAAGGAAATAATCAGGCACAAAAATAATAAGGCACACGAATATACTTTTGTCTAGTTTCGCCATTTTGAACTGAAAATAGCCTATGCAACGTGACTCATGTTAATGTAATAATTAGTTTACTGTCATTGTGAGGGGAAAAGCCGTTTTCATTATGTTAGGCACAAGATTAATAATGCATGTGTACATATTGAGAATTAATATACCGTAAAACTTCCCGGGTTTTTATTTTCCCAAATCGTCGAACTGCACCGGCTTGTATTTGAGACAGGCGTCTATATGAGACAGGCCTTTATAATTTAGTGTTAAGATGTTGTTCATTGAGTTTAGGCGAGTCTCTAATCTCTAAAAATCTCCAAATGCTCCACGTGAAACTGCGGTCTTCCGACCTTTTACTATCGTGTCAATTGATTTTGATTAATATGCGCGAGGGAGAGAGCAAGACAGCGCTCGTGTTGTTTGAAGACGTGCGAGTGCGTGCGCGCGGCCGTTGCGCTCTCTATGCTCGTAAAACCCGAAGTGTCTCCACACTTTAGAGTGGAAACTAGCGGGTGGGTCTTTGATTAGTTTTTTATTTTTTCCGCCATTCTTCTCGCTTCTCTTTTTTTCTGCAATTCTCTGTTGTTGTTGTTAGTTAACTTGTGTTCTTCACCGGCCGCTGTTTGCGCCACTTTACCCCTATTTACTCGAACAGCGCCCCCGCAAACAGAATGGTAGATATGGGTAGTGACAGTGACACTGACAACGGGTAAATTAATCATTTTGTGTTGTAATAAAATATCGATATTGGGCGTTAGTGTATCGATTATTTATTGCGACAGAGAGCACAACAATATATTGCAATATCGATTTTTTTTCCCACCCCTATTATTAACGTTAGCCCTGAATGTGAAACATGCATCAGCCATCATAACATTAACGTTAAATACCTTTGGTTGACTAACATAACGTTAGCTGTTAACTTAACGTTACATCTTACAAGTTACTGTTGCCTCTTGCAAACACGTACCAGTAGGGGTGTGAAGGTTATTCTATAACCGTGAGACCGACGGTTATAGTTGAACACCGTCATTAGAACTCTATAACCGCCAAAACCGTTATTCAAATATTTTTTTACAAACATTTTTTATCATAGAGAATGTTTAAATACTATTATCAGCTTACGAGGGAAACAGAGGTGGAGAGTTAGTGGTGCTTCGGGGGCTGAGTGCTGGAGATGATTCGGGAGAGGTCTGTGCACCTTTACCTATCAGAGCGCGCGCTGACATGGAGTAAAGCCTTGTTTATACTCGACGCGTCCGTTTCTTTTACTGTCTATGGTCCGCGCGCACCTTGCAAAAATGACGCGTTGGGTGCGCAAGACCCCATTTTCCTTGGCTGTGTGCACAGAGTTTTTTGTAACAGTGCGCACGGCGCCGCATCCGAGGATGAACGACTTCATTGCAAAGTTTTTTTTTTGTTAAGGTTTTGTTTACTGTGCAATGAACATGCTTTGTTTTAAATAAATCACACAAAGTTATTTTTTTCTTAAGGATTTGTTTACTGTGTGTGATTCATTTAATGGAAAGCACATTCACTTCTAGTCGTCTTGCTGTTAATTTTAAATAAACGTAGAGCAAGTAGCTAATCAGTGTCTGCTCGTTTATTCAAACTAAGTTGTCCTATAACAGACGAACGTCGCAACGCATACAGTTAAATTTTCATTCAAGCTCCAAACTGCAATTATTGTTAAGGGGCAACCTAATGGCTCTGCTCTGGCGATTTTTACAAGCATGATACAGCTTATCTATTTTTCAGGACAATGCCTGGTGAGAGCCACTACAGAGGATCATAGCCATCGTTGGAATTTTGAAAGGACGTGGGTGAATATCAATCTGCCAAATGAACTTTTTTAGCATGCACATTCACATCTGTATATTAATACTGATTATTAACTTTGTTTGTTACTGGAAAGAACTGAGCTTCTGAACTAAGAACAAATAACTTTTTGACTGAAGGACTTGACCGTATTTTATGTGCATTTTAGCCTATGTGCATTTTAAAGTAAACCCCATGCCGTAATGGAAAAAGTATGTACATATATTGGACAGTTGCTTGTAATTGCTATCAAATATTGTTTACATAAAATAAACATGTGTATTTTTACATATATTGGAGAAATGCTTGTAATTACTGTCTATTAATGTGTATATAAAGTGAACCCATACATTGAGTAAATGTCATGTTGATATATTGGAAAGTTGATTTTAATTAGTATAAAGCAATGTTTATATAAAGTATACCTCATACATTGATGTTAAAAGTATATAGAAGGTAAAGCCCCATACATTAAAGGTACAAATATGTAGAAATATTGGAGAGTTGCCTGTAATTATTGTCAAATAATGTTTATATAAAGTGAACCCCCTTATTTAAATGGTACAAATATGTAGAAATATTGGAGAGTTGCTTGTTATTACTGTCAAAAAATGTTTATATAAAGTAAACCTGCATACATTAATGGAAAAAGCTTGTAAATTTATTGGAGATGTGTCTGTAATTACTGTCAAATAATGTTTTAATAAAGCAATAACTGTTAAAAATATGTTTCTGAAACTTAATATCACAAGATCTTGTTTTTTTGTACAGGATAAAACCAATATTTAACAGGAATTTACTGTAAATGGATTGAATAATGACATAAAATAAAAGTTTAAATCGATCAATTTACTGGTATTAGGCTTTAAATTAGGGTATCTGAAGGTAATTATACAACATTTTCTGTGTGTTTTACATAGAAAAGTCTTTACTTTGACAAGGAGTTCTTGTAGATGGATTGGATTATCCTAAAAATATACCAAATAATACTGTATTAAAACAGAAGTCTTTGTTTTAATTATGTAATTTTAAGGTATTTCTGCAATATTTGTAAGTTTTTATACAGATTTATACATTCGTTTAACATTCAACAGACATTTTTTTATGAGATTTTTCTTTTCTTTCTACAGCAGTTTGACTGTAAAAATACAGAAAATGTTTACGGTAAATATCCGTTTTCAAAAAACAACATTTTTCTGTAAAATAATTTAAGTTTTTTTACTGTAATTTGACGGTAAGTGGTTGGCAACTTTGCTGCCAGACTTTTTACCGTTATTTTACAGTGTACACTTCAATTAAACACATGATCTTTTTTTTGTGTGAATTTGTAATGTAAATATTTGCACTGAAAGGATTTTGCGATTGAGACAGTCCTTAATATGGCAGACTCAGTGCTGATCAGTGCCCTGACTACTGAATAGGGAGCTGAATGAGACGCACCCATTTTTTCCTGGAAAATTCCGCCAATGGAGGGGAAAGAGTTAATTATGCAAATTGCAGTTTGCTTAAATAATTTACAAATGTACCTTAATATAACTGTGGTGTTTCTTTGTGTGTGTTGTGGTTTTGCTTTTAAAGAAATGTCCAGTCCACTGGAGAGGGTTGTAGCCCAGAATAAGGAGGCCATTGAAGCAGTGATGGAGATGTTTGAGAGAGGAGCCGAGGTGCTGGCCAGCGCTGTTGGAGAGATGTCGCCGCTCTTCGAGGCTGCAGCTCCAGTCCTCAAGCTCGTCCTCAACAATGTGGAAAGCAAGGAGATCACATATGTCAAAGATCAGTTTCTAGTTGTGAGGAGCAAATTAGATGTCCTCTCATCTCAGCTACAAGACATTGACTCTGAGATTAGGAGGAGACGTTTGGATACCCAGTTCTTCTCTGTGGAGGAAAATTTGCGAAACCAGTTTAGAAAATACATTGGCATTCTGGAGGCCAAACCTGAGTATAAGGAGGTCAAAAAACGCTTGTTCTTGGAGCATTTTTTCATAACAGGAGGGGAGAAAAACCTCTGTGTGCTTTATGATGCTGTGTTGGGGAACAGCACATTTGGGGAGCCAATCCTGGATGTTGTGGAACAATACGAGGCCAGAAACAGAAGGGTCCTGGAAGATTTCTGCGTCAGGCTGAAGGAGCTGCTCTGCCTGGGAATAATCGCTCTGCTGGGATATTGTTTCCTTACTCAGGGAGAAGAAGCAGAGCAGGAGAAGATTCAAGAGTGGAGCGCAAAGATCCAAGAAATTGAGATGAAAATGAAGGAAGCGATAGAGAAATGTGTGCATTCGTTTCCAGAGCAAGCTGAACTGGACATCAAGAGGCTTGTGAAGGAGAGAGAGGATGGGAACCTCCAGGAAACGGCCAAGGAACTGCTGGACTTCCTGGTGAAGAAGTACGACTGGGTGAGCTGGTCCATCAGAGGCGTTAGTGACTTGGGCAAAATTAGGAACTTGAGAGCTGGACAGAACTTTCAGAGTGTAGCGGGACAGAGTTATTTTGAAGTATCTGAAGGAAACGACATAAACCTGGTGGTCTCGTTCTGCAGCGCCCCTCAGCCTGTGCCCAATGAGAGCATCAGACAGATGATGGAAGGTCCTGCGAGGAAGGGGGATGCCAAAGCCGTCGTGGAGCTTCTGGAGAAGCAGTTAGCTGGCTTTCTGGTTCATGCCGTCAGTCGTCACAAGGAGAGCTTCGCTGTGTCGAGTTTTCCTGAAGAATGTCACTACTGGGACAAACACAAGAACGTGAATGTATGTGTGCATGCAGAGTAGATTTAGACATAAACTAGCATGTTATATGTTTGGCAACAGTTCTTCTAACCCTGATTGATGGAGTGTGTAGCTTTTCATTTCTTAAAAAAACCATGTAGTAAGACACATCATGATCATATTCCAGGATGACAATGTCATGATTCATCAGGCTCAAATTGTGAGAGAATTTTTGGGAGGGAGCATGAAGAATCATTTTCAAGAGTCCAGAGCTTTGGGATGTGCTGGAGGAGACTTTACAGAGTTCTGGACTCTTGCATTGTCAATACAAGATCTTGACCAAAAGTTGATGCACCTCTTGATGGAAATAAATGTTGTGATGTTATTTCCATCAAGAGATCTGTCCATTTTTGGTCAAGATATTTCATTGACAGTTCAAAGAGTTTAAATATATACAGTATATATATATATATAAATGTATGTAATATACACAAATAACTGGTCTGATCTACTGAATAACTGCCATATTTTCAAACAAAATAGGTTGGCTATTTGTGCTGTATTACTTGGCATGCTTACACATCATAATGTCATAATAGAACTGAATGTCTATCTGAAAACATTCCCTTTAAACACAATAGGCAGCAAACATGTTAAATATTGTGATGTTATGTAAACAAATGCTTTGTGGTAATAAAAACTCAAGCAACGGGTCTGGACGGTACTGGCTAAGAAAAGTGCTTCCCCATTTAGCCTGCATGATAATAACCTGAACTGACAGTATCTGTTCCTCAACAGCCATAAAACCGCCCATGGCAGGACGTCTCAGGAAACTAATGCACATGCACAGCAGAAAGCTCATCGGGATTCTAGACTAAAATATGCCCTTTAAAAATTCATGTCAGTTCAAAGTTGAATTTATAGGCTACATTTCCAAGAAACAACTTGGGTTTGAATGTTTGCTGGTTTAGCTTTTTTCAAGATTATACACTCCAAAAAATATTTAGACCTAAAAGTAAGATTTATGTTTTTGAATTGCATATTAAATTTCCATTTGGAGTACACCGCTGCAAACAACATAAACTATATGCGATGCATATTTGTCAGTCATAATAAATGAAACTCTTATGAAACAGGTATGTGTCCTGGCACATTTTATAATTAACTACTTGCACCTATTTTGTTTTATTTAAATAATCATATTTTCAAAATGCACTTATGCAAATTGCTTAGAATCAGTATAAATGTGTTCATTATGAAACAATTAAATGTATTCAGTTAAAAAGTATATGAACATGGTTAATATATGGCCAGCTGTGGAACAAGTAATATTCAACAGTTAAAATATGAGATTGAAACAGATTGGATTTATTGATGATAAATATCAAACCCTAGTTATTGTGCATTTAAAACACATTTAGTTTATTAGTACTATTACTGACATTTATGTATGACTGACAAATATGCATCATGTTAAGTTTGTGTTAAAACTGTAATCCACATGAATGGAAATTTGATATGCAATTCAAATACAGAAATCTTAAATTTAGGCCTACATATTGTTTGTGATAGCCAATAATAAATCTAATTGCAGTGTCCTGTTTTGTATGGCCTGTTTCACATTAATATGACTTATAAGCGATTGTTGACGTTCATTGCTATTAACTCTCTGAAGTGGACACATATAGCACTCAAAGCCACTTCTAATTAAATTACTGCTTTTGTACATAAGTCAGCAGATTGTGTCCATGGGCTGCAGACACAGAGGGTGAGTAACCTTTCACTGGTAATATAAGGACAACGAGCTCAGAGTGCTTTGTTCAGCTCTCCAGATCCACTCATTAAGATCACTGAAGTGCGGAGTGAGGGAACAATCCATCATTTTACACTCAGGCTTTACACTTTAAGCTACAGTATGTTATTTTGTTTTAGCTGCTAGAAGAAATGATGCTCTTAAATATACGGACCTGCTGTTTGTATTTTTACATAAAGACTGCTGACTTGTTGTCTGGGAAAAAAAAGAAAAAAAAACAGCATTAAAAGGTTAGCTCACACACATGCGTCGTGGTGCTCACATGAACGCACAATGGAGATTAATATTTTGCAAATAAAGTGGTAAATTTTTAAACCGCTGGAGTCACATGGATTACTTTAATGATGCCTTTACTACCTTTCTGTAGGCATTTGAATCCACATGAATTCGTAAAACTAATCCATGTGAATCCAGCGGTTTAGTCCAAATTTTCTGAAGAGACATGATATATTTATATGATGGACAGATTGAATTTAGGCTTTTATTCACATAAACATTGATCAGTGAACATAAACAAACCTGCTTGACACGTATCACTCCCTCCAGGAAATAAACGACACCATGGTTCTGGTTACTGATGGATTTATTGCACTTGTCATCCTTCTCTCCTTCGTCACATTCACCATCAATGAAATCCACCGTCAAACTACAGTATGACAATGTAAAAGACAAACACGTTCACAAACACTATAAAGAAGTAAATACAAACACACTTCGGGAATACGAAACGAAATACACATACCTCGCTGGCTGCATATAACCAAGAGGGAATGAGTTCACTTGAAATACCCGGTTCAAAAAACAAAAATGAAAAACATCTTTACTTCTTGGCTCAAAACACGAGTGACTCTTCTACTCCACACACGGAGAATAACTTCTCACAAAAAGTCTGTTTTTCCTGTTGCACCTTAAAAAGTGTCCGTGTGCAACGCAAAATGTACTTTAGTTCCTAGTTAACATCAACACTCAATATTCATGAACAGATTAAACAAATATAACAAAAACATGTTCAATAACAGAAATAATATGTATGGCAGTTATACTCCCACCAAATGACTATTTTGTCATTTCACCTCACAATTCAAACCTTTTCACACCTTAATTTTAATCATACAGTATACCTTAAACCTTACAGTAACATAAAATACTGTTTCCGTGAAATGGTAACCTTAACCTTTATTCTGCCTCAAGCAGTACAACTGTCTTTTGTACAGGCCTATCAAGGTAAACTGGCTTGAAAATGCGTCTTCCCTGGCTGTCTAAGGTCGAGTCACTAATTAACAGTTTCACCTTTCGAACCTTTCCATCAGTGCTCGGATACACCTGTGTCACCCTTGCCAATCTCCATTGGTTACGTGGAGAACTGTCCTCCTGCAGGATGACAATGTCGTTAACCTTCGTATTTCTCTTCTCTTTCTGCCATATTTGTCTTTGCTGAAGATTAAGGAGATACTCCTTCTTCCACCTTGTCCAAAACTCGTTTGCCAAAAACTGCACCTGGCGCCATCTCTTGCGCAAGTATAGATCCTGACTCACAAACTCACCTGGAGGTGGGAATATTATGTTAGACTTCATCATAAGAATGTGATTGGGCGTGAGAGGTTCAAGGCTTGTTGGGTCATTTAAATGCTCGGTTGTCAGAGGTCTGCTATTTATAATAGCCATCACTTCATATAGAAAGGTTCTGAGCGAGGCACTGTCGAGTCGTTTAGCAGACTGGTCAAGGATTGCAGTTAAGACACTTCTGATCGTCCTTATCTGTCTCTCCCATACACCTCCCATGTGGCTCGATGATGGGAAGTTCATTATGAACTCACATCCATGTTCCTTTAACTGTTCATGATCCAAGTTCTTCATTGCCTTCATGAACTCTCCTCTTGCACCTACGAAGTTTGTGCCTTGATCACATCTCAACTGTCTTACATGTCCGCGTATTGCGATGAATACACGCAATGCATTGATAAAGGCATCTGTAGTGAGGTCATCAAGCATTTCGATATGTATGGCTCTAGAGCACATACAGGTGAAAATAAGACCATATTTCTTTAGTTCCTTTCTTGCTTCCTTCACATAGAACGGTCCAAAGCAATCTATGCCACAATATGTGAAAGGAGGTGTCATTTCCATTCTTTCTTCTGGCAAATCTGCCATTTTTGGATCTTGTGTGTTCCTTCTGTACTTTCTGCATGTTGTGCACTTGTAAATGTGTGAGGCAACTGCTCTGCTGCATCCTATGACCCATACTCCATTGGATCGCAATTCATTGGCAGTTATTCCTCTTCCTTGATGATGCACGTTTTCATGGTAGTGCTTAATAAGCAACGATGATACATGACTCTTATTTGGCACAATGGCAGGATGCTTGACATGCGGATGAAGAACAGATCTTGTCAAACGCCCTCCAACCCTAAGCACACCATGCTCATCTACAAACGGACTCAGTTTGTGTAGTTTGTTTACTTTGTCTTTTGGTTTTACTTCCTTGCCTTGCTTTATACCTTTGATTTCACAGCTGAATGCTTCCCTCTGAACCAACTTGATTATAAACAGCTCTGCTTCCCTTCTTTCCTCAATACTTGTAGCTCCACTTACTTTATCTTTGATGCCCTTGATCTGCTTAGCATGGCGCTTTAGAAGAGCAATAGCCTTGACAGCTCTTTTCCAGTCAGAGAACTTTGTTAGACGTTCTAACAATGACCTCTCCTCCCTCACCTTGGTGTTGAGCACCAGGGCCTTCCGAAGTTCCGGATCATCATCATAGACTTCTCCCACCATAACATCTCCTCTGGGTAGCTCTCTTTCCCATAAGAAATCTGGGCCAGTGAACCAATTTGAAGCAACAAGCTGATCTGCGGAGAGACCTCTCGACGCATGATCCGCAGGATTATCTTCAGACCTTACAAAGTGCCATTGTTTAGGATCTGTAGTGGACTTGATTCGTTGGACTCTGTTCGCTACGAACACATGAAACCGTCTGGCATCATTGTTTATATAGCCTAGGACGACCTTCGAGTCAGTCCAAAAATGTTCTTGAAGACCCTCTATTTCAAGCTCATTTCTAAGCATAACACTTATTCTTGCTGCCACAACTGCAGCCGACAACTCAAGCCGTGGCACTGTGGTTACCTTGGTAGGAGCAACCCGTGCTTTTCCAATGACAAGCGTGCAGTGAACATCTCCCTTGACGTCGACTGCTCTGAGGTAAGTACATTCACCATAACCGATGACACTTGCATCTGAGAAGTGGTGAAGTTCGTACTGCTTGACATCCTTGAAGTTATCTGGGATATAGCACCTTCTAATCCTTACATTAGATAAGTTTCGAAGATCTTGTAGCCAGATTTCCCACTGTGATCTTAGCTCTTGTGGGAGTGGCTCATCCCAAGTTACTTTGTCTCGACACAGTTGTTGTAGGATCTGCTTTCCACAGAGAATAAAAGGCGCTACAAACCCCAA